AGGGGGGAGCAAGACCATGGAGGGCTTTGAAGGTGAGGACCAGGATCTTGAACTGTATCCTCTGTGTGATGGGAAGCCAGTGGAGTCGGGTGAGGATGGGGTGATAGGGTCACGGAGCCTGGTGCAGGAGAGGACATGGGTTGCTGATAATCTGTAGCTTGTAGAGGGAAGTGTTGGTGAGGCCAACAAGCAAAGAGTTTGCACAGTTGAGCCTCAATGTAATGAAGGTGTATATGAGGGTCTCGGGGGCTGCGGTGCGAGACAGTGTCGGAGTCGGGTGATGTTGCGGAGGTGGGGAAGACAGAGCGGATCATGGCACAGATATGGGGTAGAAAGGATAGTTGAGGGTCAAACAAGACCCCAAGGTCCGGGACTGGCTCAGTGAGGGGGAGTGAGCCCCATGGATGGTGATGCTGTCAGCGCCTGAGGTGAGGAGGAGTCTCGGTCTTGTTGACGTTCAACTGAACAAAGTTCGCTCTCATCCTGGACTTGACGTCTGACAGACATTCTGTCAGGACAGCAGTGGGTCCTGGAGTCAAAGGCGGAGGCAGAGAGATAGAGTTGGGTGTCATCCACATACATATGGGAGTTGACCCCATGTCTGCGGATGATGTCACCGAGGGGGAACAAGTAGAGGGTGAAGAGGAGGGGACCGAGGACAGAGCCCTGGGGGACGCCACACGAGACGGTGCAGGGGCTGGGGGAGAAGCTTTTGTGGAGATGAAGTGGAGGCGGTTGAGAGGTACGATCTGAACCAGTCCAGGACAGAGCCGTGAAGGCTGAGTTGAGAGGAGAGGCGATGGATGAGGATAAAGTGGTCGATGGTGTCTAAGGCAGCAGAGAAGTCAAGGAGGATGAGGTAGAGGGAGCCCTGGTCGCAGATGGACAGAATATCATTTGTCACTGACCAGGGCTGTTTCTGTGCTGTGGGCGGCACAGAAACCCGATTGGAGGTGTTCGAGAAGGGAGTGGCGGGAGAGGAAGGAGCAAAGCTGAGAAGCAACAACTCGTTCCAGGACCTTGAACAGGAAAGGGAGGTTGGAGATGGGGCGGTAGTTTGAGTAGAGATGGGTCCAGGGAGGGTCTTTTAAGGATAGGAGTGATGATGGTTATTTTTAATGGGGTGGGAACAGTACCAGAGGACAGGGAGAGATTTATAATGTCTGTGAGTAGTGGGGAAGGAGGTTGAGCTGGGTGATAAGGAGAGGGGTAGGGAGGAGGTGGTCAGTCTCATGCGGGTTATCAGGGTGGTGAGAGAGGAGTGGGAGACAGGTTTGAAGGTGTGGAGGGAGGGATGTGTAGGAGATGGGGAGGGGCTAGTAGATGGAAGGGCAGAGGTAGCTGAGTGGATCCCCTTAACTTTGGATTTGACGACGTCCAGCACTACCTCACAGTTGGCATTGGAGGTGAGGATGGGCGAGGCATGAAACTGTAGGTAGAGAAGCCGGTTAGCGATGGAGAAGAAGAGCCTGGGGTTGTCCTTGGCCTCCAAGATTATCTTGGAGTAGAACAATGATTTAGCAGAGGCAAGGATGGAGAGGTAAGATTTGATAAGGTCCAGCCAGATCTGCCGATAGACCGATAAGTTTGATTTAAACCAGTCACTCCACTTTACAATGTATCCTGTGAAGCGCTTTGAGACAACTCAAAGAAGTAATAAGGCACTCTATCAAATGCAATGACTTATTATATTAACATCACCCCACTATGCAAGAAAGCAAAAAAAAATGAAATAAATCAAAACATAAGAACACAAGAAATAGGAGCAGGAGTAGGCCGTTCGGCCCCTCAGCCTGCCCCACCATTTAATAAGATCATGGCTGATCTTCTAATCTAATTCCATTTACCCGTCTTTTCCCCATATCCCTTAATGCCTTTAGTTTTTAAAAATCTATCGATCTCAGTCTTGAATATGATTCAATGACTGAGCATCCACAGCTTCTGGGGTAGAGACTTCCATCAATTCACTACCCTCTGAGTGAAGAAATATTTCCTCAACTCAGTTCGAAAAGGCTGACCCTTAATCCTGAGACTATGACCCCTAGTTTTAGATTCTCCAACCAGGGGAAACAGTCTCACGGCATCTACCCTGTCAAGACCCTTAAGAATCTTATAGGTTTCTGTAAGATCACCTCTAATTCTTTTATATTCTAGAGAATATAGGCCTAGTCTACTCAATCTCTCCTCATAGGTCAACCCCTCATCCCAGGAACCAACCTTCAGTATATGGAACAGCAATTGAAAGAGAGAAAACTTCGTCTTGGACGGAAACTTAAACCCCTCCTCAAATATCTTTTGTGAAGAGGGAGTGTAGATGCACAGCATCAGATACAACAACAACAGCAACAAGATTACATTTGTATAGCGCCTTTCACGTCGGGAGGACGTCCTAAGGCACTGAACAGAGTACAGCATTTCAGATAACAAGACTTATATGCGACTCTAAACGACAGGGAAAAAGAGATCAAACATCTAAAAACTAACCAACAAATAGAGCAGTCGAAAAAGGATTTGGCAGATAAAGAAAAGGAGTCTTCTGATCGAAAGGTACAGCTCTTTATGGAAAGGGAGAGAAACGAGGCAGAAATGGCTAAAGGAAAGAGAGGACAATCATTTGTGTCAGATACGTGAGTTGGGAGCTGTGGTAGATAACCAACAGGGCAAAGAGGATCTGACCTAGGCCAAGAAAGCAGAATGTGACGAGTGTAAGCAGTTGATAAACAGGCTACAAATGGAGGTGACAGAATTAAACTGGCAGCTGATGGAGGCGCGAGGGGAACTCCGACACAAACTAAAAACTGTGCAGACTGGACCGATCGACCACACATAGTGTAGGTGGGTGATTCATAACCTGCAGACTCAATTGGCCTGGCATTGCTCTAGGATAGAGGCAATGTTACCAGGAGAAGGGTATCAGTCCTGGGATGATTCCGAACCAGACTGGGAGAGTTTGGAGGATGAGGCAGCCCATTACAGACGGGAGGAGGGCTATGGACCTCCTGACCCATCAAATTCTGGCCAAATAGCAATGGTGACAACTCGTAGTACGTCCTGAGCAGCAGCAGCAGCAGCAGCAGCAGCAGACGATGCGGATGCAGAAGGAATGTTACTGAACACCATGGTCTCTCAACTCCCCATATCGGTTATAGAGTGGGATGCTTTTGTTAAAGAATTTGGGGTTCACATTACTCCTAAAACCAACCCCATTACTCGTGTTAGTCAATGGAATGCCTTTACATCCTACCAGCAAAATCTGGAGGATGAAGATTACAAACAAATATTGGTGCATCTTTAAATCCAGAAGTTAAAGGTCGCTTTCCTGCAGCACAATATGCTGCTGATGTCAATTCGACTGGTTTCCTAGGGGCAATTCAGCAAGCATTGGGCAACATAGGATGTCCATAGGGAGTTACTCAAAGCTGAACAAGGCAAATATGAAAGTCCTTTGACTTTTCATACGCATTTAATAGAACTCAACATTATGCTCAAGCGGGGGAACCGGACATCGCTGCCATCCGTGACTCCCCCGAGTACAAATAACACCACCTTCAGAAATTGCTTCCTCATATTAAAACTGAGTAAGGAGCAGTTGTCAGTCATCGATCCAAATGGGGTGAAATTCTGGCTAAAGAAGAACAAGCCGACACTACAAGGCAACAGCTATTGAAGTCAAACCCCAAATTAAAGTTGACCCCGTGTTCAAGGTAGGAGGACAGAGTCCTGGGAATAACACTGGCAAAGGGGGCAGCTGGAGCGGACAGAGTAGACCTTACTGACATAATAACCAGGGTGGTGGCTGAGGTTATAATGCTCCGAGGGGAGATGGACGCGGACAGGGTTTTGGCTATAATATGGGAGGAAGCCCATTGAATAGGGGTAGAGGGCACTTTGCTTGTGATTGTTTGAGCGAGTCACAACCGGGGTTTAACCAAATTGCAAATTTCCCCCATGGAGTCCTGTAGCTCAGTGGTTAGAGCACTCGCTTTGCAAGTGAGAGACCTGAGTTGCATTCCAGGCAGAGGGCGAAACCTTGGGCAAGTTTCCTTACTCCACACAGAGCCTAATAATAATCCCTCCAAAAAATAAAACGATAATAAATTGGTCATTTTCAAACCACGACTGTCTGTGGGACGCTGCTGTGCGCAATTGGCTGCCGCGTTCGCCCACAAATATACGGTCAATTCACTTTACAGTCTATTCTGTGAAGCACTTTGAGACGTTGAGAAGACGTGAAAAAGCACCATATCAAATGCAAGGGTTATTATATCACCTTGAAACCTTCGCCCACAGACCAAAGATTGGATAAATTGATTGCATTAATTACCCTCCAGCAGGCGACAGGAGGCAGTCCTCAAATCAGTAAAACCTCCAGTTTCTTATCCTTAAAAGCTACTGTAAAAATACAGGCAGCTGTGGCCAGGGAATCTAGACAGGATCCTGTGTCACATATACAGTGTCACAAAAAGGTACTGCAGTTGGAGGAACAACTTAAATGTGAAAGAAGATACCTGTAAAAGGACACCTAAATCCCTCTGAACACTAACACTATCTAGTCTCTCCCCCTCTAGAAAATAATCTGCTTTTCTATGTTTTCTACCTGGGTGAATAACTTCACACTTGCCCACATTATACTCCATCTGCCACCTTCGACTTTCTACCCCCTCCTCACTTCCTCCCTTCCCTCCCTTCACCCTGACCATTTCCCCCACCAATGCTCGGGTCCCGACCCAACTGTCCAGCGCCTTGGGACGTCCTCCTGACTTGAAAGGCGCTCTATAAATGCAATGTTGTTGTTGTTCTTGCCCACTCACTTAACCTGTCTCTACCCTTTGCATCCTTCTTGTGTCTTCCTAACAGCTTACTTTCCCACCGAGCTTTGTATCGTCCACAAATTTAGATACATTAAAGCTCTATTTCCTCTTCTAAGTCATTGATGTCAACTGTAAACAGCTGAGGCCCAAGCACTGCAAACCAACAGGACAAAACAGCCACAAAAGTTCTTTTTGTCTCTTCACAGAAAGTTTATTTCCAGTGATTTTTATGGGTTTTGGGTCAACCCAGTGCATTCCTTCATTCCATATCATCGTTTAGCATCCAAAGTAAAGGTCTTGTTTCACACTGTCAGGTTCAAGCTTAAAGGTTCCAGTCACCAGCCTCTCCCACTCTACCGACCTCCCACACCCACTCCCCACTGGAAGGGGCATGAGCCTGGGATAGGCCTGAGACCCAGCCTGGGGCCTTTATATACCGAGTTTGGGGGTCAGTTTGTGTGAGTTCAGCATCTCAATAACAAATAAACTCACACCTGACACAGTGTGAAAACATTTGTGCATTTCAATTGTGCATTGGGTGGGGGGGAATGGGTTGTTGTGTCAAGGCTATTGACATGCGGAAATGGGGTGAGGATGGGAACAAGACTGTGTTTCTCCGGGTGTTGGGTTGGCCACTGGGAGCAACAGCACCAATAATTCAGGGCAGCCCCTTGTCCAGTCACCTGCCACCATCAGCCCTGCCTGTGCCCAGAGCGGTGTCTACACAGCGACTCTGTGTCTGTCCATCACAACAGCTGACTAATAGCCATAGATCTCATTGTCCACCCAGCCCCGCTCCCGCTCCCGCTCCCGAGCCCTGCCGCCCGGCTCCACACACGGCTCATAGATCTCGTTGGTCACAAAGCCGCTCTGGGTGTCGCTGACCCTCACGTTGTCGTACTCCCCTGAGAGCGTGTCCACAGGGCGCTGGGCAGGGGGAGCGCGAAAGGACGAGTTGGGTGTGTGAGCCCAGGAGCCGCTCAGGTCAGCCTCGGTCTGTCTCCTGATCACCTTGTGGATCTCCAGGCTGGGGGCCGCACTGGCCTCCGCGGCCAACCAGAGGCTGCGCTCCTTCACTGCCCGACTCTCCTGTCTCTCCTTCCTCCTGTGGCAGAGAGAGAGAACGTCACAGTCTCCGTTACATCACAACCTGCAGTGGCGGTTCCTCTTTAACCTGTGTGGCATCCCCCGGGAGTGAGGGGCGGGGCTGAGCCGCGAGGGGCGGGGCTGAGGGGCGGGGCTGAGGGGTGGGGCTGAGGGGTGGGGCTGAGGGGCGGGGCTGAGCCACGAGGGGTGGGGCTGAGCGGCGAGGGGCGGGGCTGAGCGGTGAGGGGCGGGGCTGAGCGGCGAGGGGCGGAGCTGAGGGGCGGAGCTGAGCGGCAAGGCGCAGAGCTGAGGGGCGGGGCTGAGGGGCGGGGCTGAGCGGCGAGGGGCGGGGCTGAGGGGCGGAGCTGAGCGACGAGGGGCGGAGCTGAGGGGTGGGGCTGAGCGGCGAGGGGCGGAGGTGACTCTCGACTCTCTTCCCCCTCCTCACTCCCTCCCTTCCCTCCCCTCACCCTGACCATTTCCCCCCTCCTCGCCCCCTCCCTTCCCTCCCCTCCCCCTGACCATTTCCCCCTCCTCGCTCCCTCCCTTCCCTCCCCTCACCCTGACCATTTCCCCCCTCCTCGCCCCCTCCCTTCCCTCCCCTCCCCCTGACCATTTCCCCCCAATGCTCGGGTCATGACCCAACTGTGCAGTCCTTGGGACGTCCTCCTGACGTGAAAGGCGCTTTATAAATGGAATCTTGTTGTTGTTGTTGTTGTTGTGAGGGGTGGGGCTGAGTGGTGAGGGGCGGAGCTGAGGGGCGGAGCTGAGCGGCGAGGGGCGGAGCTGAGGGGCGGAGCTGAGCGGCGAGGGGCGGAGCCGAGGGGCGGGGCTGAGTGGCGAGGGGCGGGCTGAGGGGCGGGGCGGAGCTGAGGGGCGGGGGGCTGAGTGGCGAGGGGCGGGGCTGAGTGGCGAGGGGCGGGGCTGAGTGGCGAGGGGCGGGGCTGAGTGGCGAGGGGCGGGGCTGAGTGGCGAGGGCGGGGCTGAGTGGCGAGGGGCGGGGCTGAGTGGCGAGGGGCGGGGCTGAGTGGCGAGGGGCGGGGCTGAGTGGCGAGGGGCGGGGCTGAGTGGCGAGGGGCGGGGCTGAGTGGCGAGGGGCGGGGCTGAGTGGCGAGGGGCGGGGCGAGGGGCGGGGCGAGGGGCGGGGCTGAGTGGCGAGGCTGAGTGGCGAGGGGCGGGGCTGAGTGGCGAGGGGCGGGGCTGAGTGGCGAGGGGCGGGGCTGAGTGGCGAGGGGCGGGGCTGAGTGGCGAGGGGCGGGGCTGAGTGGCGAGGGGCGGGGCTGAGTGGCGAGGGGCGGGGCTGAGTGGCGAGGGGCGGGGCTGAGTGGCGAGGGGCGGGGCCGAGCATCACCTCTGTGTTAAGAGCCGGAAGCAGAAGGCGCCGATGGCCACGAGCAGCAGCAGCAGTGGGACAGTCGGTACCACAACGTACAGAATGTTCAGGGGAACCTCTGGAACACAGACAGGACTCAGTCAGTGCGTCTGTCCTCACCCGCACCACAGCAAACCTCCTGTATACACCCACGGTCCTGCTGGTCAGGGCGAGGGACACAGTAACGCTCCTCTACACTGTGCGTCCACACTCCCCGGTCAGGGTTAGAGACACAGTAACACACAGTCACTACACTCCCACGGTCAGGGTTAGAGACACAGTAACACACAGTCACTACACTCCCAGGTCAGGGTTAGAGACACAGTAACACACAGTCACTACACTCCCAGGTCAGGGTTAGAGACACAGTAACACACAGTCACTACACTCCCAGGTCAGGGTTAAAGCAACTTTATTTGTTGGGTTGTGAACCAGTTCAGGACACAGAAACTAACTGCCTTCTCTTTCAGAATATTAATGCCCACCTGAACAGTCAAACATCCCATTGTGGGTCCCTCCCGGCACTGACCGCACTGACGCATCAGCCTGGAGTATCAGATTGGATTATCCGACCTGGGTGCTTGAACCCACAATCTCCTGACAACAACAACAACAACTTGGTCTTATATAAGGCCCTCCACACAGGGTCGTGTCTCAGAGGCCTTAACGCTCCAGTCCCATGTGTAACATAACATGTAGGAGCAGGAGGAGGCCATTCGACCCTTCGAGCCTGCCCCGCCATTCAATCATGGCTGATCTTCTAATCTAACTCCGGCTAATAACCTGACGCCGCCTTATCCCCATATCCCTTAATCCCTTTAGCAATAAGAAATCTATCTCTCTCAGTCTTGTGGAACAGTGTGGAACTGGTTCGAAACCCTGGTTGGTGTGGATTTATAAAATGTTCTTGAAACATAACCAAAGGAGACAGACTGTGGCTGTGAGGTTGAGGGGTGTGAGGTTGCTGGGGTGGGGGATAGAGAGGGTGTGAGAGGGTGGAGAGCGTCTGAGGGTGTATGTGTGATAGTGAAAAGACCAAATAGGGAGTGCACCGTCTGTCTCCCGCACATCCACGGTCTCCTGGTCAGGCCTGGCTGTCAGCCACTCCGGGCTCCGGGACGTGTTGCCAGGGGCCAGTGGAGGGGCCCTCGTGGTTCGAGCTGAAATTCAGCAAAAGTTCCTGTCATAGGCAATACACCCGCATCACCAGCAGGTGGCACTGCATCATAGCCTGGAGCAGGAGCCCTGACTGATCTCACCCTCCCTGCCCAGGACCCTCCCTGTCCTCACCCACCCCCCGACCCAGCCCCCACCCCCACCCAGCCCCCACCCCCCACCCAGCCCCCACCGCCCGACCCAGCCCCCACAACCCCCAACCCAGCCCCCACCCCCCGACCCAGCCCCCACCCCCACCCAGAACCCGCCCCCAACCCAGCCCCACCCCTCACCCAGTCCCCGCCTGCTCATCCAGCCCCCATCCCCCGACCCAGCCCCCACCCAGCCCTGCCTCTCGCTCTGCCACGTCCGGAGCCTTCACCCAGCCTCCACCCCCAACCCAGCCCCCACCCGCTCACTCAGCCCCCACCACCCAACCCAGCCCCCGCCCCTTCACCCAGTCCCCGCCCCCTCACCCAGTCCCCGCCCCCTCACCCAGTCCCCGCCCCTCACCCAGTTCCCGCCCCCTCACCCAGTTCCCACCCCCTCACCCAGTCGCCGACCCCTCACCCAGTTCCCACCCCCTCACCCAGTCGCCGACCCCTCACTCAGTCGCGGCCCCTCACCTTCACACACAGACACACTTGTACCTGGTGAGTACTTGCAAATGAAGTTGTTCTTGATGTTACAGCGGTCGTCGTTCCATTGGTACAGGTATGGCCCGCCCATGCCCGCGGAGGCTGAGGGCTGGTGGTACATCACCACACAGGCCTCGCTGCCACATGACGGCTCGTCCTCATACCAGTTCCTACAACGGTCAGCGAGACAGTGAAATCCCAATGATCATCAGGCGCTGAGCGCCGTGACACCAGCAACACCCAATGGGAGAGTGACAACAACAACTTGGATTTACATAGTGCCCCCCACGCCGGATGGCGTCTCAGAGCGCTTCACAGTGACGGATCCCGGGGCCGAGCCAGGAGGGGGAGGAGCCAGGGGAGGGGGAGGAGCTGGGGAGGGGGAGGAGCCAGGGGGAGGGGGAGGAGCTGGGGAGGGGGAGGAGCCGGGGGGAGGGGGAGGAGCCAGGGAGAGGGGGAGGAGCCAGGGGAGGGGGAGGAGCTGGGGAGGGGGAGGAGCTGGGGGGAGGGGGAGAAGGTGACCAAAGGTGCGGTCGAAAAGAAAGGTCTTCAGCCGAGACCTGAAAATGTGAGGGGAGGCGGTGAGACAAAGGGAGTGAGGAAGGCAGTTCCAGAGCCTCGGGGCACAGTGGCTGAAGGCGCGGCCGCCGAGGGTGGAGAGGAGGACTCGGAGGAAGCCACATCCGGGGGAGTGAAGGCAATGGGCACTGTTGTGAGGAGAGAGGAGGTCAGAGAGGTTGTGGGATATGGAGGAGTGGAGGGATTTGAAGACAAGGGTGATGATCTTGAAGTCGATCCTCTCTGGGCAGGCAGCCAGTGCGGTCTGGCAAGGACTGGGGTGATCGGGGTTTGGTGCGGGTGAGAATGCGGGTGGCAGAGGTTTGTATGACCTAGATTTTATGGATGGTCGTGGAGGGGAGGCCGGCGAGGAGGGCGTTAGAGTAGTCCAGCCGAAAGATGACAAAGGCGTGGACCAGGGTTTCAGCGGTTTTTGGGGTGAATTGGTGGAGTCGAGCGATGCGTTGGAGGTGGAAAAAAGCAGTCCTGGTGAGGGACCGGATGTGGGGGAGGAAGGATAATTGGGGGTCAAACTTGACGCGTAGGTTGCATGCAGGTTCGGAGAGTTTTAGGGAGAGTCGGGTAGGTGGAGGAGGTGAGAACCATGCGATTTAAGACGTTGACGAGAGTCAAAGAGTATGGCTTCCATCTTGCCAACATTTAGCTGAAGGAAATTCGCGCTCATCCAGCTCCTGAGGTCGACAAGCAGAACATCAGGGACTAGGGCTCGCAAGTGAGGTGGAAAAATAGGGTTGGGTATCGTCCTTGTACATGTGGAAGTGTCCCCCATGTCTGCGGATGACATCCCCAGAGGGAGCATATAAATCAGAAAGTGGAGGGGCCAAGGATGGATCCTTGGGGTACCCACAGGTGAGAGCGGGAAGAGAAGCCATTTGTGCAGATGTACTGCTGGCGGTTTGTGAGGTAGGACTCGAACCGGGCGAGTGCGGTCCCACTGAGGTGGATGACGGAGGAAAGGCGGTGGAGGAGGATGGCGTGATCGGCTGTCGAACGCGGTGGAGAGGTCCAGGAGGACAAGGAGGCCGAGGGAGCCCTGGTCACAGAGAGGTATCGTTTGACAACAACTACTTGCATTTATATAGTACCCCTCACGGGCAAGACATTGGGCAAGTTTTCATACTCCAAACACACGCCTCTGTTTATCAGCAGTGAGTAAAAACCTGATCAACCCCACTCCCCCGCTCTCTCTCCCCATAGCCCTGATCAACCCCACTCCCCCGCTCTCTCTCCCCATAGCCCTGATCAACCCCACTCCCCCGCTCTCTCTCCCCATAGCCCTGATCAACCCCACTCCCCCGCGCGCTCTCCCCATAGCCCTGATCAACCCCACTTCCCCCGCGCTCTCCCCTTAGCCCTGATCAACTCCACTTCCCTCTCTCCCCATAGCTCTGAACAACCCCACTCCCCCGCGCTCTCCCCTTAGCTCCGATCAACTCCACTTCCCTCTCTCCCCATAGCTCTGAACAAACCCACTCCCCCGCTCTCTCCCCATAGCCCTGATCAAACCCACTCCCCGCGCTCTCTCCCCATAGCCCTGATCAACCCCACTCCCCCGCTCTCTCCCCATAGTCCTGATCAACCCCACTCCCCCGCTCTCTCCCCATAGCCCTGATCAACCCCACTCCCCCACTCTCTCCCCATAGTCCTGATCAACCCCACTCCCCCGCTCTCTCCCCATAGCCCTGATCAACCCCACTCCCCCCGCTCTCTCCCCATAGCCCCGAGCAACCCCACTCCCCCGCGCTCTCCCCATAGCCCTGATCAACCCCACTCCCCCACTCTCTCCCCATAGCCCTGATCAACCCCACTCCCCCGCACTCTCTACTAATAGCCCTGATCAACCCCACTCCCCCGCTCTCTCCCCATAGACCTGATCAACCCCACGCCCCCGCTCTCTCCCCATAGCCCTGATCAACCCCACTCCCCCGCTCTCTCCCCATAGCCCTGATCAACACCATTCCCCTCTCTCTCCCCATAGCCCTGATCAACCCCACTCCCCCGCTCTCTCCCCATAGCCCTGATCAACCCCACTCCCCCGCTCTCTCCCATAGCCCTGATCAACCCCACTCCCCCGCTCTCTCCCCATAGCCCTGATCAACCCCACTCCCCCGCTCTCTCCCCATAGCCCTGCATACTTGTCCTCCCCAAATAATGATTTACTTCACTCTTAAAAGTTGTTATCGTATCGGCTTCCACCAGCCTTTCAGATACGTTTTCCAGTTCCGAACAACCAAACAATACGGGGATTATTATTATTTATATAGCGCCCTTTACACGGGGTCCTCCACACCCCCCCCCCCCCCACCAACCCTCTCTCTCTCTGCTGCCAGGGGGTTTCACATGTTAGACGGGAGTTTACTTTCTCAACAGTTTTTTGCCCTCACGAGATGCAGGGAGACGGACGATTGCAGAGCCTGAACCTGGGTCGGTTCTCACCTGAAGCTGCCATCGGTGCCGTCCAGCCACTGGTAGCGGGCAGCGCAGTCTGTCAGGTTGCCGGTCTCGCTCTCCCCGCGCCACAGGCCGATCCAGAAGTCCCCATCCGCAGCCGACAGCGCCTCCAGTAGCTTCTGGACAAAACGCTGCTCGTGTAGCGACTGCACGCTCAGCAGCTGTCCCCCGTCCCGCTCACACTCTCGACGAGCAGCCCCGAACTCCGCCCGGCGCCACGCATCCCGGAAATAGGCCACCTTATAGCATGGACGCTCCACACCGCCCCGACACACACTCTGCCCTGGGAGGAGAGATGGGCAAACACAGTCAATCTGACACCAGCCGTTCACACACACACACATTGTCCATGGGAGGGAAGACATCTGACTCTCGTTCCCTCCTCGTTCCCCCCATTCCCCTCCCGGCCTCTCTGCTTCGAGGGTATTGTGTGTCAGCCTGGCCCATTGGTAGCTTCTCACCTCCAAGGCAGAGGTTTGTGGGTTCGAGCCCCACGTTGGGACTCGGAATCACATAATCTAAGCTCACGCTCCCATACAGCGCTGGGGATGTGTTGCATTGTGTGAGACGCCGTCCGTGGGATGAGACGTTAAACCTCACTCCCCACCTCTCTGTTCAGGTGGAGGTTAAAGATCCCGCAGCGCTATTCAAAAACAGAAGAGTTTTTCTCTCTCCCCCCCCCACCTCCTCGTCAACAATCCCCTCCTGTGGCCCTCCCCACTCGCTGGCTCAGGGCTGCGTTGTTACAGCTCAAACCCGCTTCCTTTACTGTGCGCGGAGAGGCCGGGACCCCGGCTGGTCAGTGCAGATTACAATTCTCTTCATGAAAATGTTTTTCCTGTTGGGGGCTGCGGGGACGGGGGTTGGTGCGGAGGTCAGGAGGAAGGAAGGCAGCAGCACATGGCCAACATGAGAACATGGGAACTGGGAAAACTTTTCAGCTGAGGACAGGGAGTCTGACTATAATAATACTTGCATTATGGGTCCTGTAGGGTAGTGGGTAAGTTAGAGCACTCGCCTCCCAAGTGAGAGGAACTGGGTTCAATTCCCGGTCAGGGCGAAACATTGGGCAAGTTTCCTTGCTCCACACACGCCTCTGTTTACCAGAAGTCAGTAGGAACCCGGTTATAAGTCGATTGGCGGATAACTTTTCCGGGGATAATAATCCCTTCAAAAAAAATTAAACAAATACTAATAATAATTTGGTCACTCAATCCACGAGGGTTTGTGGGACGCTGCTGTACGCAATTGGCTGCCGCGTTTCACCCACAAATATACGGTCAATTCACTTTACAGTGAATCCTGTGAAGTGCTTTAAGATATCTCAAAGACGTGATAAGACGCTGTATCAAATACAAGTATTATTATAATGAGACGCCTCAAAGTGCTTCACGAGATATACTGAAAGGTGAAACGACTGTATTTTGTGGAAAAAACACTTAGGATCTTTAACATTCACCAGAGAGAAACAGACAGAGAGTGACAGACTGACAGTCAGAGAGTGACAGAGTGAGAGTGACAGGCAGAGAGAGAGAGAGAGAAAGTGACAGACAGACAGAAAGTGAGAGAGAGAGTGATAGAGACAAAGAGAGAATGACAGACAGAAAGACAGACAGACAGAGAGCGCTAGAGAGAGACAGAGAGAGAGCGAGAGAGAGACACAGACAGACAGAAGAGAGATGGAGAGAGAGAGACAGACAGTGAGACATGCTGCTGGTGGGGAAGGCAGATACACGGGGGTGACGGGGGCACTGATATATAAATGGGCTTTTTTTTTTCTCCCTCCTCTCCCCTCACCACCTCACATAGCAGTGAGTGATTTTATTGAACCCAGATTGCACCAAGCGCACAGGCAGACACTGACCTCCCCCCCCACCACCCCCCCCCCCCCACACAGCACCCCCCCCCCCACACAGCACCCCCCATACACCCCCACACACACTCACACACTGCCCCCCCACACACTACCCCCCCACACACACTGCCCCCCTCTCACACACATTCCACACATACAAAGCCCACCCCCCCCCCACACACACAACTATTGACAGAGACATACACTCACACACACAGACACACACTTAAGGAGTTACAGACAGACACACATTTACAGACCGACACAGAAATAGGACCGCAGTTAGAGACTAAGTCTAAGTGTCTAAGTTAGTCAGGACAGAGAGACAGAGACAGACAGAAAAGTTTCACAAACAGACACACAGACACAGACACACACACACACACAGACACACACACACACACACAGACACACAGACACAGACACACACACACACACAGACACACACACACACACACAGACACACAGACACAGACACACACACACACACAGAGAAACGAATGACATTTTTCAGAAACATGTCAGGAAGTTCTGTGTGCTGTGGCTGATGATGATGATGATGGTGGCTGATGATGATGATGGTGGCTGCTGCTGATGACGATGGGGGCTGCTGATGATGATGGTGGCTGGTGATGATGATGACGATATGGTGGCTGGTGATGATGTTGATGATGATGGTGGCTGGTGATGATGTTTATGATGATGATGGTGGCTGGTGATGATGATGATGGCTGGTGATGATGATGATGATGGTGGTGGCTGATGATGATGGTGGTGGCTGGTGATGATGATGGTGGTGATGATGATGATGGTGGTGATGATGATAATGGTGATGATGGTGATGATGATAATGGTGATGACGATGGTGGTGATGATGATGATGATGGTGGTGATGATGATGATGGTGGTGATGATGATGGTGGTGATGATGATGATGATGATAGTGGTGATGATGATGGTGATGATGATGATGGTGGTGGCTGGTGATGATGATGGTGGCTGATGATGATGATGGTGATGATGATGGTGGTGATGATGATGATGGTGGTGATGATGATGATGATAATGAGGTGGCTGATGATGATGATGATGGTGGCTGGTGATGATGGTGGCTGATGATGATGGTGGTGATGATGATGATGGTGATGATGATGGTGGTGATGATGATGATGGTGGTGATGATGATGATGATGATAATGAGGTGGCTGATGATGATGATGATGGTGGCTGGTGATGATGGTGGCTGATGATGATGGTGGTGGTGGTGATGATGATGATGGTGGTGATGATGATGGTGGTGGTGGTGATGATGATGGTGGTGATGATGGTGGTGGTGATGATGATGATGGTGGTGATGATGATGGTGGTGATGATGATGGTGATGATGATGGTGATGATGATGATGGTGGTGGTGATGATGATGATGGTGGTGATGATGGTGGTGGTGATGATGATGGTGGTGGTGATGATGATGATGGTGATGATGATGGTGATGATGATGGTGATGATGATGATGGTGGTGATGATGATGGTGGTGGTGATGATGATGGTGATGATGATGATGGTGGTGGTGATGATGATGATGGTGGTGGTGATGATGATGGTGGTGGTGATGATGATGGTGGTGGTGATGATGGTGGTGGTGGTGATGATGGTGATGATGATGGTGGTGGTGATGATGGTGGTGGTGATGATGATGATGGTGGTGATGATGATGATGGTGGTGGTGATGATGATGGTGGTGGTGATGATGATGATGGTGGTGATGATGGTGGTGGTGATGGTGATGATGGTGGTGGTGGTGATGATGATGGTGGTGATGATGATGTTGGTGGTGCTGATGATGATAGTGATGATGATGATGGTGGTAGTGGTGATGATGATGGTGGTGGTGATGATGGTGGTGGTGATGATGATGATGATGGTGGTGGTGGTGATGATGGTGGTGGTGATGATGATGATGGTGGTGATGATGGTGGTGGTGATGATGATGGTGGTGGTGATGGTGGTGGTGATGATGATGATGATGATGATGATGGTGGTGATGATGATGATGGTGATGATGATGGTGGTGGTGGTGATGATGGTGGTGGTGATGATGATGATGGTGGTGATGATGATGGTGGTGGTGATGATGATGGTGGTGATGATGGTGGTGGTGATGATGATGGTGATGATGATGGTGATGATGATGATGGTGGAGCCCCGGGAGGTGGTCCCGGGGGCGGTGTGTAGTGACTGTATCCCTCGCGGGTGACTCACCGCTGTGCAGTGCGGAGGGGGAGAGGGGACACAGAGCGGACACCACCGTCAGGAACCTCAGCGGCTCCATATCCTCACACACAGCGCTCAGCGCTCACACTCCCCTCCCGCCCCGACACAGGGCCCCGGGGGGGGGGGGGGGGGGGGAGAGTCTCTCTCTCTCTCACTCTCTCTCTCACACTCACACACTCTCTCTATCTCACACTCTCTCTATCTCTCACTCTCTCTATCTCTCACACTCTATCTATCTCTCTCACACACTATCTCTCACACTCTATCTATCTCTCACACTTTCTGTCTCTCTCACACTCGATCTCTCTCTCTCTATCTCTCACACTCTCTCTCTCACACACTCTCTCTCACACTCTCTCTATCTCTCACACTCTCTCTCTCACACACTCTCTCTCACACTCTATCTATCTCTCACACTCTCTCTATCTCTCTCATACTCTCTATCTCTCACTCTCTCTCTATCTCACACTATCTCTCTCACACTCTCTCTCACACTCTATCTCTCTCTCACACTATCTCACGCGCTTTCTTTCCCACTCTGTCTCTCACTCACACTCTCTCACACTCTCTCTATCGCACTCACTCTCACACACTCTCACTATCTCTCACACTCACTATCTCTCACACACACTATCTCACTCTACCTTCCTTTCACACTCGCACTCTCCATCTCATTCTCTCTCACACACTGTCTCTCACACTTTTCACTCACACACTCGCTCTCTCTATCTGTCTCTCCCTCTCTCTGTCTGTCTCTCTCTCTGTCTCTCCCTCTCTCTGTCTGTCTCTCTCTGTCTGTCTGTCCCTCTCTCTCTGTCTGTCTCCCTCTCTCTGTCCGTCTCTCTCACACACAGTGGTGCAGGAAGGCGTTGCAGAAAATGAGCAGCAACATCAGCACTTTGTGTGATTGGGGAGAGGGGAGAGGGGGGGGAGTGGGGGGGGGAGAGGGGGAGTGGGAGATCAATAAGACAATTATATAAAGAAGCTGAAAGGAATCACTGTGAGGCAATAAGGCTCTCTCTCTCAAGATGGTAAACCACACAAAGACTTCACTTAAGATTTGCGAAGACTTGAGATTGTCTCAGACAGAGACACACACATAGAGAGACACATAGAGAGAGACACGCAGAGACAGAGAGAGACACAGAGACAGACAGACAGACAGAGGCAGAGACACACACAGATACAGAGAGAGGGAACCGGCTTTAAATCTCACATATTTGCAAATGAGCTGAAGAGAACCTTAAATCCCCACTAGTCTCAGCCCACATTTTGTTTGGGAGCTCGTGTTAAATTCTTGCACCCAGTCATGGTTTCGAAGGCCGTTTCGTTTTAAGAACCATGAAAAATAATAATAATCCTTGCATTTGATATGATACGCCTTATCACATCGTTGAAACATCTCAAACCGCTTCACAGGATATACTGCAAAGTGGAGTGACCGTATATTTTGTGGGCAAAACGTGGCAGCCAATTGCACACAGCAGCGTCACACAAACAGCCGTGGATTGAGTGACCAAATAATTATATTTTTTGTAGGGTTTATTACCCCCAGAAAATGATCCATCAATCAACTAACAACCGGGTTCCTACGTACTGCAAGGTAGACAGAGGCGCGTGGAGTAAGGAAACCTGCCTAAGGTTTCACCCTGACCCGGGAATCAAACCCAGGTCTCTCGCTTGCGAGGCGAGTGCTCCACAATAATAATAATCCTTGCATTTGATATAGTGCCTTTCACATCAGGAATATCCCTGGTATCATCCAAGTAAATCTTGGCACCCGCTCTCTCTCTCTCTCTCTCTCTGGCCCGTGACGTCCTTACCTAAAGTACGTGTGTGTCGACCAAACCTTATGTCCTTAAGATCAAAAGGAATGATAATAATAATAATTTGATGCAGCGCCTTATCACATCTTTGAGACGTCTCAAAGCGCTTCACAGGATACACGGTAAAGTGGATTTTGTGCGTGAAATACGACAGCCAGTTTCCTTGATGGCAAACACGTCACCACACAGGGTTAACGTCTCTTTCCTGAAACATTTTCCCTCCTTTTGTTTGGCTTCCTTATCCCTGCGTCACTCGGCTCCACAAAGCCCGGCTTCCTGTCAGGCCGACCGGGGCCCGGTTCTGCTCAGCCCCAGGGACACACCGAACAGCAACATCAACAGCAGTTTACACAGCACACGGGGCTAATAATAACAATCCTCGCATTTGATACAGAGCCTTATCACGTCTTCGAGACGTCCTAAAGCGCTTCACAGGATACGCTGTAAAGTGTAGTGACTGTGTGTTTTGTGGGATGAAACGCAGCGGCCAATTATGCACAACGATTGCCCCACAAATGTCATGAATTGAGTGACTGAATTATTATTATTTATTTATTTGAAGGGATTATTACCCCAGAAAGCAATCCACCAATCGACTAACAACCGGGTTCCTACTGACTGCTGGTAAACAGAGGTGTGTGTGAGTAAGGAAACTTGACCAATATTTCACACCATCCAGGCATCAAACCCAGGTCTCTCGCTTGCGAGGCGAGTGCTCTAACCACTGAGCTACACAACTCTAATGGAAACTCCCCCAGCCCCTCACTCCCAGGAACGGGGTTAGACACCTAAGGCAGAGGGGACCTAACAACAACAACCACAGCAGCATTTACACAGCGCCCCTCATGCAGTGTACTGTCCCAGAGTGCTTGACAGTGGCGGAGCACGATTCTGAGCCGGGGAGAGGGTAGTACATTTACTTGTAGAAAGTTTTTGCTCCTCCAGGCCCTGATGTTTGCCCAGACGAGCTGAGAGAACATCAGGGGACCTGAGGTCACAGCTGGAGAAGTAGATTTGTGTATTTACCCCAAGTCTGTGGATGACATCACCAAGAGGAGCATATAGATGAGGAAGTGGAGGAGGCCAAGGATGGTTAGCAACAACACATTCCAGAGCGTGAGAACATGGATCAGGACAAGGAGATCGATTCCCGTTGTCTGTCCCTGTGGCTTCCCATCCAACTTTGTTGTTATTAAACATTCCGCTCACTCCGTCAATAACCTCCATTATCAGGATTGCGCTGTTGCTCAATGCTCCCAGGAGGAGAATTACTGAACCATATTCCTGCAATATGAGTGTGTAAACAGCGAGGTGATAAAGCAGTGGCTGTCACTCTGCCTGGTAAATAATAATCCTGGCATTCGGTGCAGCGCCTTATCACGTCGTTGGGTTGTCTCAAATCGTTTCACAGAATATACTGTACAGTGAATTGACTGTATTTTGTGGGCAAAACATGGCAGCCAATTGCGCACAGCAGCGTGTGTCAGTGAGCATGTGTCAGTGAGTGTGTCAGTGTGTCAGTGAGTGTGTGTCAGTGAGCGTGTCAGTGAGCGTGTGTCAGTGAGTGTGTCAGTGTGTCAGTGAGCGTGTCAGTGAGCGTGTCAGTGAGCGTGCAATTATGTGTCAGTGTGTGAGACTGAGTGTACGAGCGTAAGTGATTGAGTGTTTGTCAGTGAGTGTGACTGAGTGTGAGAGTGATTGAGCATTTGTGTCAGTGGTTGTGTAAGTGTGCACTTGTGTGTGCATGCATGCCAGAGTGAGCGTGTGTGATGGAATGTGTGTCAATGAGTGCAACTAAGCGTGTGAGTGTGGTTGAGCATTCGGATCAGTGCGTGAGAAAGCGTGTGCCTGAGTGTGCTAGAGTGTGTGTTAAATGTTCATCAGCGAGTGTGCAAGTGTGTACCTGTGAGAGAGTGTGTGTATGTGGGGGGCGGTACTGGCACGGATTAGCGATTTGCTAAATAACAGTCATTATATTTGGTAGTAAATCAGTGTTGGGAGAGGACCAGCGTCAGTGAGCAGTGATCAACTGCAAGTGATGATTTATTATAAAGGAAAGGGATCGGGGACTGAGCCCAAACAGCGGAGAGTCTGAGCCTCTCCCCCACGTCAGTCACACATACGCAGTGCTTGATAGGTCTCCTCAACCTCCTTGTTAAAGTCCGGGCTTGTGGGGCGCCTGAAACAACAACAACAAGTTACCTTTAATGATGATAATAATAATAATCCTGGCATTTGATACAGTGCCTTATCACATCTTTGAGACATCTCAAAGCGCTTCACAGGTTATACTGTAAAGTGGGGTGACTGGGTGTTTTGTGGGTGAAACGTGGCAGCCAATTGCGCTCAGCAGTGTCCCACAAACAGCAGTGGATTGAGTGATTGGAGGGCAGTGGGGGAGTGAAGGGCATGGAGGGGGGAGTGGAGGGAAGGAAGGGGGGAGTGGAGGGAAGGGAGGGTCGGAGGGCAAAGAGGGGGTTGGAGGCAGGGAGATGGGGGAGTGGAAACACAGTGTGAGAACAAGTGAGTGAGACGATGTTGGGGAGATGGCGATGGAGTGATTGTTCTCCATTGTGTTGGGGCCAATTCTTGAACTGGGGGTGAGAGCTGAACCCCCAAGCTGGCAGGTCCACCCAACCCAAATAATTCCCCCCCACCCACCCGCTCTGAGCAGTGGCTGGAATCTCTGGGATGCTGGATGGGTTGGGGGTGATGGAGTGGTGGGTGAGGGGATGGGGAGTTTGGGGGTGTGGGAGTTAGGGGATGGGAGGTGTCTGACCTGCTGGCTTGCCCTGTGCCCCCCGTTACTCACAGTCGAGGCTCGGACACCCTCTGGGGCCTGTAGGGGCGGTACACACGTTCTCTCTGTTGATGAGAAAAAATCTGAGTCTCTGAGACTCGTACCAACAACAACACATTACATTTACCCACACAGCGCACAGCACGTCAGGGCATCCCAATACGCTGGATAGTTGAGGGGCTTGAACCCGAGCTGGGGGTTAGGATCATGAGGGTGGGGAGGGTGGGTGTAGGAGGGTGACCGAAGACGCTGCTGAAGAGGAGGGTCTTGAGACGGGCCTTGAAGGAGGCGAGGGAGAGGGCGAGGGAGGGGGCAAGGGGAAGGAGGCAAGGGAGGGGGCGAGGGAGGGGGCAAGGGGAAGGAGGCGAGGGAGGAAGTGAGGGGAAGGAGGCGAGGGAGAGGGCAAGGGGAAGGGGGTGAGGGAGCGGGCGAGGGGAAAGGGGCGAGGGAGGGGCGAGGGGAAGGGGTCAAGAGAAAAAGGGCTAGGGGAAGGCAGCGAGGGACGGGGCGAGGTGAAGGAGGCGAGGGAGGAAGTGAGGAGAAGGCGGCGAGGGAGGGGGCATCAGTTTGACACACAGTAATGTTATTCTTGTCTCTTTCCTATTATATCAGGATGTCCGCGATCTCAGCATAACTGCTTCCACGAGGCCCCCCCCACCCCCCCACCCCCTTTTGCTGAAAACAATCTCCGCTCTTTGCTCAAGGCTCAAGCAGAAGCTCGTGACCCCCCCGACCCCCCACATCACCGCTGCCGGCCATGGACACACTGTGGATGGTTTGATGAACACAATCTGGGGTCAGGGAGAGAGTCACTGACACAAAGCAAGTCATTCAGACCTGGCCTCCTGCTCACTCCCCCCCCCCTCCCCACCACTCTCCCCACACACATAGCGCTCCCCCCCCCCCCACCCCCAACACACACTCACCTGGATGCTCTGCTCTCTCCGCTGTTGGATTAAAACTAAAATCTCTTTCCGTTTCTTAGCCTACAATCAGAGCAAAGTCACACTCACATTTCCCACACACTGACACTGTGTGTGTGTGTGTGTGGGGGGGGGGGTGGGGAGGGGGGAGGGTGGTGCTGAGTGTATGAGGGGATGTGTATGGTGTATGTGAGTGTGTGTGATGTGTGTGTGGGACGGGGCTGTGTGTGAAAGGCACTATACAAATGTAATCTTATAGCTGTTTTCAGTGGGGGATTGTTGACCAGTAAATAGTAATAATAATCGTTGCATTTGATACAGTGCCTTATCACGTTGTTGAGATGTCTCAAAGCGCTTCACAGAATACACTTTTGTGTATTTTGTGGGCGAAACGACAAAATAAATAATCATAATAATGTGGTCACTTCACTGTCTGTGGGACGCTGAAGGGTGCAATTGTCTGCCGCGTTTCGCCCTCAAAACGCACAGTCACTACACTTTACGGTGTATCCTGTGAAGCGCTTTGAGACGCCTCGAAGACATGATGAGGCGCTGTATCAAATGCACGGAATATTGTTCCATATCGGATCGTTTGGTTGCAAGTGAAGCTGCGAAGACTACAACTGGTTACTAATAAATGTCTAAACATCACAGCGGTGTTCAGCTCTGGGCTGAGATGTTACACACTGCGGCTGTGAATCAATCTCCCGCTCAGGCACTGGTGGGACGTGAGAGATGAGATGATTATTGGAGTAGAATAAGCTGTGGCGGAGGCTAGAGGCTGAGGAGGGGCCGTGGCTGGTGTCAGGCTGCACGGTGGTGACTGCATTAATCACCGGCCGCGATGCTGACAAACTCGCTCTCACCCTCCAGCGCTGCCTCTGTCAGCAGCTCGGCCCCTGGCTGGCTCCGTGCCCACTGCACACACTATTAAACCCTGGATCTATTCCTGATTATAAACCGCTGTGTTTACCCACAAAAACAGTTACTACACTTGACAGCAATTATAATCCTTGCATTTCTCTGTGAAACGCTTTGAGACGTCCTCCCACTGTGAAAGGTGCTGTACCAAATGTAAGGATCTTTATTGTAATGTGTGTGAGTGTGTGCGTGAGTGTGTGCGTGAGTGTACATGTGAGCATGACTGTGTGTGAGGTGTGTGTATGTGGGTGAGTGTATGAGTGTGTATGAGTGTGTGTATGTGTGCAAGTATAAGTTAGTATATGTGTAACAGTGTGTGTATGTGAGTGTGTGTGTGAGTGTGTGTGTGTATATGAGTGTGTGAGTGAGCGTATGTGTGTAAGTGTGAAAGAGAGTGTATGTGTTTGAGAGTGTGTGTGAGAGTGTATATGTGTGTAAGTGTATCTGTGTTTGTGTATATGTGTGAGTGTATGTGAATGTGTGTGAGTGTGTGTGAGAGAGTGTGAGTGGGTGTGTGTGTGTGTGGGTGTGAGGGAGTGTGTGAGTGGGTGTGTGTGAGTGGGTGTGAGAAAGTGTGTGAGTGGGTAGGTGAGTGGGTGTGTGTTAGTGGGTGTGAGAGAGTGTGTAAGTGTGTGTGTTAGAGTGTGTGTGTGAGTGGGTGTGAGAGAGTGTGTGAGTGGGTGTGAGAGAGTGTGTGAGTGGGTGTGAGTGTGTGTGTGTGTGAGTGGGTGTGAGCCAGTATTGTGAATTGTGCTCACAGTTCCAATCCTTCGGTCAATCTCCTGATTGCCAATAAGATCTAATTTTTTTAAAGAAGAACAAATCAATCTCCTCTCCTCTGACTGAGTCAGCGATGTGTGTGTGTGTGTATGTGGGAGTATGTGTGTGTGTATGTGTGTGTGTGTATGTGGGGATATGTGTATGTGGGGGCATGTGTATGTGGGAGTATGTGTGTGTGTCTGTGTGTGTATGTGTGTGTGTGTATGTGTGTGTGTGTGTGTATGTGTATGTGGGGGTATGTGTATGTGGGAGTATGTGTGTGTGTGTGTGTATGTGTGTATGTATGTGTGTGTGTGTGTGTGAGGGCGACGGCAAAATCACATCCACTCTAATCAGCATCATTGACTCACACACAAACCTCAGGGTGGGGGAAGCCTCTGGTCGATGCCCTCAGTTAGATCTTGAGGATGGGGCGGTGAGGAAGGGAAGGGGAGTGCGGGGGAGGGGACAGCGGGGGTGGGGGGGGACGGGGGTAGGGAGTAGCAGCACATCTCATAGCTGCTCAATACAAATAAACCTACACATTCTCTGCAGCTCAGCGTAACGTGGTTCGGGTTAGAGGAGAATTTAATAGACATAATGGATGAGAAGTTCAGTGGATAATTTGTTGTAAAATCCACCGTAAGTCAAATCCCTTTTTATTGTACAGTGACTGATTGCAATAGATCAGCTGAGCTCAGGGAGAGGGAGAGAGAGTGAGAGAGAGAGAGGCTGAGCTCTGGGAGAGTGAGAGAGAGTGAGAGAGAGAGAGGCTGAGCTCTGGGAGAGTGAGAGAGAGTGAGAGAGAGAGAGGCTGAGCTCTGGGAGAGTGAAAGAGAGTGAGAGAGAGAGGCTGAGCTCTGGGAGAGTGAGAGAGAGAGAGGCTGAGCTCAGGGAGAGGGAGAGAGAGTGAGAGAGAGAGAGGCTGAGCTCTGGGAGAGTGAGAGAGAGTGAGAGAGAGAGAGGCTGAGCTCTGGGAGAGTGAGAGAGAGTGAGAGAGAGAGAGGCTGAGCTCTGGGAGAGTGAGAGAGAGTGAGAGAGAGAGAGGCTGAGCTCTGGGAGAGTGAGAGAGAGTGAGAGAGAGAGAGAGAGGCTGAGCTCAGGGAGAGTGAGAGAGAGTGAGAGAGAGAGAGAGAGAGGCTGAGCTCTGGGAGAGTGAAAGAGAGTGAGAGAGAGAGGCTGAGCTCTGGGAGAGTGAGAGAGAGTGAGAGAGAGAGAGAGAGAGGCTGAGCTCAGGGAGAGTGAGAGAGAGTGAGAGAGAGAGAGAGAGAGGCTGAGCTCAGGGAGAGTGAGAGAGAGTGAGAGAGAGAGAGAGAGGCTGAGCTCTGGGAGAGTGAGAGAGAGTGAGAGAGAGAGAGAGAGAGAGGCTGAGCTCTGGGAGAGTGAGAGAGAGTGAGAGAGAGAGAGGCTGAGCTCTGGGAGAGTGCGAGAGAGAGAGAGAGAGAGAGGCTGAGCTCTGGGAGAGTGAAAGAGAGTGAGAGAGAGAGGCTGAGCTCTGGGAGAGTGAGAGAGAGAGAGAGAGAGAGGCTGAGCTCTGGGCGACATGCTCACATCTACAGTGACTGATTACAGGAGTCACATGGAGTCTGACCCTGGGTTAAACTCCAGCGAGAAACCTAGTCTTCACCTGGTCTAATACTGGATATACTATGTAGGAATGTGGAGTCCTATAGTGTAGTGGTTAGTCAGTTAACGTTTCTCCCCGTCCGGGAATCGAGGGGAGCAAAACCTTAGGCAAGTTTCCTTACACCACACACACACCTGTGTTATCAGCAGTAAGTAGAACTTGGTTGTTAGTCGATTGAGGATCCCTTTTCCGTGGGTAATAATCCCCTCAAAAATAATAATTCAAAAATAATAATAATTTGGTCACTCAATCCATGACTGTTTGTGGGGCACTGCTGTGCACAATTAGCTGCCGTGTTTCGCCCACAAAATACACAGTCACTACATTTTAAAGTATATTCTGTGAAGCGGTTTGAGATGTCTCAACAAGGTGATAAGGCGCTGTATCAAATGCAAGAATTATTATTATCATTATTATAAATTTACATTTATATAGCAGTTTTCACCATGGGGAAGTCCTTGGATATAAAATAGATCAGCAGCCACGGTGACTCATTGTGGATCTATCACAAGACGAGGGTTTACTGCAGTTAAGAAATGATTTTGCTTTTAATGCATGTTGTTAAGGTGCTTGTTTGTTACAGCAAAGCTCCCAGTGTCACACACTCACCTTCTCCAAATACACAGCCTTTTGCTCAGCTTTCATCTTCATTTCAAACGCAATCTCCTTCTGTCTGGCCTCTGCATTGAGGAGAAAGTGTGGTTACTACTAATACTAATCCTTGCATTTGATATAGTGACTAACAACCAGGTTCCTACTTACTGCTGGGTAAACAGAGCCGTGTGTGTGGAGTAAGGAAACTTGCCCTGCTGGGGATCAAACCCAGTTCCTTTCGCTGGCAAGGCGAGTGCTCTAATGTCAGTGAGGCCAGCAGGGAGACCGGCGCTGCCCATTACCTGCTTCCTGGCTCAGATCAACACAGCAAACAGCCTGTGAGCATTACTTGATCCCTGAGACCTCAGTTGGTTAACACTAACACTAACACTGCACGAGTTGTGTGCAGATAGCGCCCTGCAGCGGCCTCCCACTGCATTGCTCCTAGGTTCAACCCTGCAGCAAAAGCCCTAATCGGTAGGGTGGTCCTAGCTGGACAAGCAGCGGGAAAGTTGCCAGGCTGTGCTGTCAATGGCAAGCTATGTGATTTTATCTGTTTAGACTCCAGCAGTTACCCCAACACACACTCTGGTGTCCCCCCAAGTCTTGGCTCTTGCCAACCTGCACCTACTCATGTGTAGGTGGGATGCATGGAATTCTCAGTTTGGTTTGGAGACTCTTAAACATGGTGATGGGTTTCTGCATGTGTCAGGCATCCAGCTGACCCCCCAAAAAAAATTCATATCAATGTCTAACCAGTGGTTGTGCTGGCAACTGGACAGACACAATGGGAAATCAGCAGAGGAATGGGATTAGAGTAGAGAGCTCTGCCACAGGCTGCTACACGTGCACACACACACACCCATTCACGCTCGGGTATGTGTACTTACTTTTGTCTGCACTGGAGAGGCGGCAACGACATCGGTCTGTAAAACAAGGATGTGATTAAACTGTTTGGGGAATTAAATCTCACAGCAGCACAACTGTAGATCTGATCTCCTGTATCCCCCACCCAACACACACACATTCCCATACTCAGCAGTAATAATACTAATCCTTTTGATATTCCAGCACCTTGGGACATCTTTCCGACGTGAAAGACGTCATATAAATTACATTTTGTACCTTTCAAATGAGGGAGAGCCTCTCAAAGGATTTACTGTGAAGTGTAGTGACTAGCCAACCTGTCCCACCTACAGACAGCCATGGGGTGAATGAGCAACTTTATCTGTTGGATTGTGAGCCAAGACTAGACACAGGGAAACACAAACTGCCTTCTCTTTTGGAGTATTAATGTCCACCTGAACAGACAAACATCCCACTATGGGCTCTCCCCCAGCACTGCAACAACAGCATAAATGATCAGCTTGGATTGACCGGCATTGGCTTGAACCCACAATCTCCTGACAAGAACAACTTACATTCATTCACACAGCTCCCCTCACGCAGGGTAACATCCCAGAATCCCAGAGCACTTGCCAATGGTGAAACATGACACTGAGCCTGGGAGGGGGGCGCAGGTGTGTGTGTGTGTGGGGGGGGGGGGGGGGGGGTGGAGAAGTGGCGTAAGCACCGTCGAAGAGGAAGGGCTTCAGGTATGATCTGAAGATGGGGAAGGAAGGGACAAGGCGGAGGGATTGAGGAAGAGAGGTCCAGAGTTTCGGGTGTGGCGACTGAAAGCACGGCCACCGATGGTGGAACGGAGGGCACGAGGGACAAGCAAGATGCCGCAGCTAGTCAAGCGGAGGCAGCAGGTTGTGAGTTGGGGAGTGAGGAGGTTGATGAAGTAGGAAGGTGTCAGGACATGAAGGGATTTATAGTTGAGTGTGAGGATCTTGAAATCGATCCATTCGGTGATAGGGAGTCAGTGGAGGCTGCCGAGGATCGGGGTGATGGGGTGCGATCTCTCTGACCCACACACACATACATACACACACACACACATATACACACACGTGCATATACACACACATACATATACAGACATATACACACACATATATACACACACAGATACACACACACACACACACACTCCTCACCGCTGCCCACGGCCGGCGCCACCCTCAGGCGCTGTGTGATGTCCCCGGACACGAGGCGGGACTCGAGCGGCGGTTGGAGCGACAGCGAGTTCCAGAAAACCTTAGCGTAAGCCACGTCCTCCCGCGGGGAGGCGGCGAACACCGTGAAGCCGGAGAGACCGTCAGCCGCCGCTTCCGGGTCCTCGGCCATGGGGAAGCCTGTGATTGGCCGGACCCCGGTCACCATGGAGACGAGGGACGCCGCGTCCCTCCTCCCTGGTAACCGTCGTCATGGAAACGGCGTCATTACACACGTGACTCTGTCCCGGGTGAGCGCTGGGACCGGACCGCAACAACAACTTACATCTATAGAGCGCCTTTCACGTCGGGAGGACGTCCCAAAGCGCTGAACAGTCAGGTGTCGGGGCCCGAGCATTGGGGAGGGGGGGAGGGGTGAGGGAGGGGGAGAGGGGGGGAGGGAGGGGGGGAGGGGTGCAGGGGGGAAGGGGGGGAGGTGGGGGAGGGAGGGGAGAGGTGGGGGAGGGGGAGGTGGAGGGAGGGGTGGAGGGGAGAGGTGGGGGAGGGGAGGTGGGGGAGGGGTGGAAGGGGAGAGGTGGGGGAGGGGTGCAGGGGAAGGGGGGAGGTGGGGGGGAGGGGGAGGTGGGGGGAGGGAGGGGGGGAGGGGTGCAGGGGGAGGTGGGGAGAGAGGGGGGAGGGGTGCAGGGGAGGTGGGGGAGGGGGAGGTGGGGGAGGGGGGAGGGGGAGGGGTGCAGGGGGAGCTGGGGGAGGGGGAGGGGTGCAGGGGGGAGCTGGGGAGGTGGGAGGTGGGGGAGGGGGGAGGGGTGCAGGGGGGAGCTGGGGGAGGGGAGGGGTGCAGGGGGAGCTGGGGGAGGGGGAGGGGTGCAGGGGGAGCTGGGGGAGGGGGAGGGGTGCAGGGGGAGCTGGGGGAGGTGGGAGGTGGGGGAGGGGTGCAGGGGGAGCTGGGGGAGGGGGAGGTGGGGGAGGGGGGAGGGGTGCAGGGGGAGCTGGGGGAGGGGGAGGGGTGCAGGGGGGAGCTGGGGGAGGGGGAGGGGTGCAGGGGGGAGGTGGGGGAGGGAGGGGGGAGCTCAGGGATGTGATTGTGATGTAAAATCAAACAGAAAAAAAACCTTCAAAACACAGAAACTGACCCAAAGAACCTGATCAGCTTCAACCAAAGAGCAAAATACTGCATTTGCACAGATTTACTGATTTACTCAACCGTTTAAATAATGATAATTATCAAAGTATAACAATAATAATCCTTACATTTGGTATAGCAAACTGTAAATCTATATACTGGTACTTTTATGTACTAGTTCTTACATTTTATATAATAATAATCCTTGCATTTGGAACAGCACCTTATCACGTCTTTGAGACGTCTCAAAACGTTTCACAGGATATATATATATATAACACAGGAAACGCGGCAGCCAATTGCGCACAGCAGCGTCCCCACAAACAGTCATTGGTTGAGTGACCAAATTATTATTGTTTATTTTCTTGAGGGATTATTATCAGGCGCGTGGTGAGGAAACTTCGCCCTGATGGGAATCGAACCCAGCTACAGCTCCAAACATTTCCTATCAGTAACACCTTGAAATGTATTTACATCAAAATAAATATTATTATCAAAGGTGAAGGTCCCGAAACGACTGAGTACTCTAATACCTAATACTAATTAATTTATTAATTAATCAAAACAGTAATAATAATCCTGGCACACACAGATACACAGATACACGGATGCAATCAAAGTGAAAGGTTCAATTTGTATTTTAATGTTTAAATATATTGTCTGAGATTTGTTTTTCTCCTTTCACTATTCTCGGTCCTTTCAGCTTGTTCCCCGCCAGCCTGTGTTCCAGGGAGCGATTCAACCAAACCTCTTTGCCTGGCTGTGTGGTTAGTGATTGCTAGTTAACGGTTACCAATCAGCTAACTACACTGCCTAGCAACGGGGCGTTTACAGTTACAACATTGTTCAACTCAGCCCTACACAGAAAAACAACGCGGGGCGGGAGGGAGGGAAAGAGAAAATTAATTTTGTTTGCAAACTGATTTCATTAAATGTGAAATTTAATCAAAGAAAACTTAAAGATGCACAAATTGACCCAGGACACCCGGCCTCTGGACGGTTAGCAAATTACTGCATTTACACAGATTTACTGATTAAATCTCAACCATTGAAATAATAATAATAAATACATTTATAATTTGCTAAATCAAATGCAAAAATTATTACTAAGTATATATGTGTATATATAACTACAAATATACATAAATATATAGTAAACATATATAAACTCTAGTGTTTAAATCCCTCCATTCCTTGCCCCTCCCACGCCCCCCATCTCTCTGACCTCCTCTCCCCCCACAGCAGTATCCGCTGCCTCCTCTCTACTGGCTCCGACCTCCTCCGCGTCTCCCGAAACCTCCGCTCCACCATCGGCTGCCGTGCCTTCAGCCATTGCACCCCAAAACTTTGGCACTCCCTCCCTCAACCCCTTGGCCTCGCCCCCTCCTTCCCCATCTTCAGGTCGCACCTGAAGACCTTCCTTTTCGACCGCGCCTACAGTCACCTCCCCCTCCCCCTGGCTCGGCCTCGGGCTACACCATTGTTAAGCTCTGAGACCCCACCCAGCGTGGAGGGCGCAATATCAGTGCAAGTTGTTGTTGCTGTAAACTATAAATATAATAATAATAATCCTCGCATTTGACCCAGTGTCTTATCACGTCTTCGAGACGTCTCAAAGCGCTTCACAGGATGCACTGTAAAGTGGATGGACTGTATTTTATGGGTGATATATTCTGTACATATACACAAATATCTATTGTAAACATATATAAACTATAAATATGTAAATATATTTAAAAAAATTAAAAAAAGAAGATACAAAAAATAATTATTGTTATACAGATACACACACAAAGCCATGAGCCAGAGGGCGGACTGGTCACACACTGCACCCCCACCTCCCCCCGCAAACCGATGAATTATTTGAGGTCCAGTCTCAGGTGTTGGTTACAAAGCTGCAGAAAATGCACCAAAGGGAAGAGAAGCGGTTACTGGGGATGCGGTTGACGGGGTTGCGGATGTTGTAGCCTCTTTTGATGGTAGTGTGAGTTAGCGATTGTTCCCTTAGCTCCACAATCAGCTAACTACACTGCCTGCAAAGTAAGCTCAGACCAGTCCAGCCCAGCCCAGTCCAGCTCAGCCCAGTCCAGCTCAGTCCAGTCCAGCTCAGTCCAGCCCAGTCCAGTCCAGTTCAACCCTGCCCAGCAATGGGGGGGGGGGGGGGGTCTCAAAACACCAGCTCTGGGTGAGAAAAAGGAAAGAAAGATTAGCCAAGAATTAACATTCCTACAATCAAAATATTCCAACCATTCAGACGTCTCTCTCTACAAATCTCTGAGACCTTCCCTACACCCCACAGAGTAGAGTTAACACTGATTATTTCACGTCAATTAATGGCAGCACAAACTGCGATTGTGAACCCTGGAGATAATTTAAAATTGGTCAGATAATAAACAGACCAGCCTCGGTTTTGTCGTTGTTTTATCCCCAAAAATTTGTGTGTGTAAAAAAAATCTTGCATTTAATATAGATGTCTCAAAGCGCTTCACGGGATATACTGTAAAGTGTAGTGACAGTATATTTTGTGGGTGAAATTTAAGAACTTTTTTTTACATTAATCCACACACACATTTTTGAAACCGTTACAAACGAATTAAGGCTATTAATGTTATTGATAAATAATAAAACGTCTTTGGTGAATTAAAACTCATCTCGAAAGGTTAATAGTTTAGATGAATAGACAAGGGGGAAATATCACAAATCGAATTTACTGCAACAAACTCACCAGAAAAACACAGGTTTTATGTTAAAAGTTAGGATTTGTCTGAACGTTGGCTGTAGTTAGCATATGCACCCCTAATATATATATTTTTTAATTGTTTAACCGAAATTTGATTTCAATTATTCGATAATAAAAATAATAATATAAACGCTATTTACGAAAAACGAATAAATAGTTATTTTCGGTCCAATATTGTTTAATATAGCGTAAAAAATCATGACCAGAAAGAGAAAGGTTACATTTTCTCAGGGCTATTTTTTTCTAGGGGGGAGAGGAGGAGGGAGGGGGGAGGAAAGCAATTAATAAGTAAATAAAAGTATACCTGACCATTAACTCATCCCAAACTGTTGTCAGTCTGTAAGAGGAGGCTGTGCGCCTGTCTGTGTCCAGAGTCTCTGCAAACTGCTGCTGTGTGTGGTGTGTGTACATACTGTAGTCAGGGACACTCTGACTGAGTCACTATATCATATCACACGTCGCTCTCTCTCTCTCTCTCTCTCTCTCGGGGTGAGAGTGTGAGCCATACAGAGGTGTGTGGTGCTGTGTCCTGTTACCTGCCTCAGGTGTGAGAGCGGACAGGGAGTTACCATGGACGGCGGCAGCGGAGGGCGGACACACAAACACAGACAGACACACAGCCCGAGAACCCCCCACACACACACACTCTGTCACCTGTAAGTCCATCAATGGGATTTTACAAAACAAACTTTATATATATATATATATTGTGGGTATGAAAACACCACTTCACTATAAACAAACACCACTGCTATTTATTACATTGATAAACACACAGTGTGTTGGCCACGTTTATTCGTATTCACTGCACTTACTTTGTTACTCAATGTTATTTCTGTCTTAACTGACCCACCCACCGCCTCACCACATACCCACTAACTCATCACCCACCCACCCACCGCCTCACCACATACCCACTAACTCATCACCCACCCACCCACCGCCTCACCACATACCCACTAACTCATCACCCACCCACCCACCCCTTCACCACATACCCACTAACTCATCACCCACCCACCCACAGCCTCACCACATACCCACTAACTCATCACCCACCCACCCACCGCCTCACCACATACCCACTAACTCATCACCCACCCACCCACCGCCTCACCACATACCCACTAACTCATCACCCACCCACCCACCCCCTCACCACATACCCACTAACTCATCACCCACCCACTCATTCACTCATCCCCTAACCCAGGATTATAATAATACGTTTGTATTTGTTAATCTGTGGGTTATAATAATCCGAGGGCGATCATACATAAACCTCTAGTTATTTTATTTTAATTAATGGAAATAAACTGAATTATAGTCATTGATATTCTTACAACAG